AATAGCAAATTTCATTGCTGTTAACCATTTAAAAAGAAACTTGGAATGGTCAATTACTGACCAAAAGTAATCATGATCACAATAACAAAATTTGAAATGTGAAAATATTCCATCTCAGGTAAGCAAATTTTTTAATTTTTGCTGAAATTACTTAAAATTGAACCTAAAAACTGGAATATAATAATCTAAACTGATTGAATTCATTTGTGACTAATTATTTAATTCGAAAGTTTTCTTCTAAGGAAAAGTTTTTGCTAATATATACAATTATTTTGTGACTTATATTTGGAATTGATCCGATTAGTAAAGACACTAATTATTGTTTTCTGATCTCTGATTGATCTCTGAAATCGAGGAGTAATTACTAATATAATGGGAATAAGATTGAATACTATAGCAAGATCATAATCATTTGCAAAAACAATAATTATGGAATGCTCTGTCCTATCTATACAATGATTAAATGTCCTTTGTCCAATGACCTCTGTCCAACAATTACAAATAACCATATACATATATACGCTACATGACAACAGGTAACAGTTGAAAGTATTACATTTATTGTTAGAGCTATAATTAATTAACTCGACGGATATTATCGACCAAATAAAATATTTTGGCACTTTTAGTCGACTAATAGGATCACATTCATATTAATTTAATTAAATAATTAATGAAAAGCCTATTTGATAGATTTAGTACTTTTGCAGTTGTCTTTATGAGTACAAACATAACTTGCTAATTACCATTGCAACAGATTGAAATATGGAATAAAGATTAGCAACGGAATGATTGCTTTTGATAGCTTATCAAATAAATTAAGTTTCTTTAACTGAAAAATAAGCATTACAGATATTAGCATTAATATGCGATTGTCAATAGCACTTGTGCTTCTTATATTTTGCTATGCTTTATCAGAGCAATTCTGGATTGATATCAAAGTGGAAGGATTAGAATGGTCAAATAATTGTAATTTATACAGTACCTGTATTCAACCAACACTTCAATTACGTCTTATCAATATCTTTAATAATGAGACTATTATCAAAACTTTGAATATTAACTTTGATAAACAACAGGTTACATTTTTGCAAATATTACTGTGGGATAATGATGTTAAACAAAAACTTTCTCATTTTCAACTATTTTATAAAATTTAAGATTAACGAAATTCATTTGATATCATATTGGAATGAGGGAATACCTGATATGATTGTTTCAACTATTACTATTAATGGAATTGATCCCGACTATGATTTCTCGAGACTTTGCGATTCCACTGCAACTATTTTTCCATTTCAAATGGCTAAGGTAATCATAGCTTTATTCTCATATGCAAACTTCTTACATATTCATTTATATAGACGTAATCATTATCTAATGATAACATTCCATTTATTGTTGTATTTCAAAGGTTCTTATCAGAGATTATCGATTTATGAAATTATCATTGTTTGATAATAATTTAGAAGAACACGACCAAACTATCGGGTATGTGTTTCAATGCTCAATTAACTTTTGCAAATTATTCCAATCAATGTTCACATTCAACAATTGTAAGTAATGGATCTATTTGAATGGAAATTTTAAATTTTATTAATTATAAACAATCCATAAAGGAAATGTTTTCATTTAATCATTCAAATGAGTTTATGCATAATTATAACTTTCTTGTATTATGACTAACCGGTAGTTTATTTTACTCTGATATTAATGAATAGAATTTCTCCATGTTATTTTAAATTTAATTACAATAAACATTTGTTAATCCTATTACTAATCCCTGTTTTGCTGTGACACATGACTAATCCTTACCCCTTTCTTCCCCTCTTATTATCAGCTTACATCAGCTTATCATTAGCTTACAATTAGTTGTTAATTAAGTAGTTAATTGATAGAAGTACTACAATAAGTAAATGATGCATAAATACATGAATAAATAAAAGTGAAGTTTAATATGTTGAATTTTTAATTCAGTAAAAGTATCAATGCAAAAGCATTGTTATTGGATAATTCTCGGAGTAGCAATCATAATGAGGTAATAAAAGAGAATGAACTTAAATATTTTACCAATCTAAATAAAATCAAATTCAAAGTTAACTGGGAGATTATATAACATCTCGTCCCTCTTAATTGTTGAAATTAACATACGGAGGTCAAAAAGGTCAATGTAAATTTTTTTCCGAACCAAATGAAAAGATCTTTGTTTTCAGAATCAGACAGATGGAGCAAAGACTTTGCAATGGCTATTGGCTGTGGCTATTGGGTGCTTAATTACATGTTTCATGCTAATTCACATTTTCCTCACTATAAATCGTATCCTAAAATTGAGATCAAGAAGTAATAGACAAATTAAACGGTAACTTTATTAATTGTAATTTAAACAAGTACAATTAAAAGTAAACCTTCCATGAGCATAGTTATTTTTACAGTCTCATTTTCTTGTGATTTTAAAAATCTCAAGTTTTTTTCCTGCAACTTTTTAATCTTAATAGATGATTGGATTCAGTAAAAAGTGAAAAGTTGAATTATTTGTTCAGAAGATCAGTGTTAAAAACATCGACATCAAATGGTGCCATCTTGAATGTTGCAGAAAATTCATGTGAATATGTGAGGTCACGAGTTTTCCCGATAAGCATTGAATCCGGAAATCCGGATTTGACGAAATCTCGAACTGTTTCGAACTTCACTCCAAAACATACATTTTCTGCGAATTCATCACTTTGTAATTCAATAGAATAGTATCTAAAATGTGATCAGTCATTTCTACTTCTTGTTGTTTTGGATGGCTTTCATTAATTAAGATTTGATCGCTACAACCTCAATTTTGATTGCTGTGACGACTTTTTGTAACGCCAAAGAATAATGACGATCTTGTTTCAATTGTATTAAATCACCTGTATCTAAGCATATTCATTAGTTGTAACAATTAATTAGCAGTTTTAAGATCAATTAGATTACGAGTGTTCCGATCTTAATTTTTCATTAAATTTCTTGTTTTTAAATCTTTTAATGTCTATAAAGTCTTCGATGATATCATTTTTTGGAGGCTTTTTTTTCGGATTTTACAAAATTTGACATGCGATTATTACGATATGATGATAGATAAATAGTGCTAAGATATCATACCTATGAAGATTTCAAACAAGTTAAAAGATACAATTTCTAGTTGACGGTAATGTCACAATCAATCGAAGTCAATCAATTGATGTAATGGAATGAATGTTGATGGATCGATTAACCCGAAATGTACGTTCAAAGTCGATCGTTCAATGATGAAATAAAACGAAAGTCTGTTTATTTTTGACTGTTAGTTTAGTATAAGTTTTGTTTTGCTTTTATTTTACTTTCTTGACTTCCATCTCAATATCACTAACTCTCTTAAGTCCATTAAATTCCTACAAATTGTCAAATTCTTCTTACTGCTTATGTAAATGCTCATTTTTCAAGCCAAATATTAGTAATGTACGGTACGGCACCATAATCTTTCATCCATAATATACATAAAGTACGATATTCGATGCACTTCATCACATACTCCATGCAATTTTCTCTCGTAAATCAAGGAGTACTGTAACCTTTGTGCCGCTATTTTATTCATTGCTGTTTTTAACTAAAATTTGAACATGATTCGAAATATTTTGGGCATTAGAAAAATTAGCAAGCATATAACGATGTGTTGTACACAGAGTAAGTACAGTAATATTTGACTGTCACAAGAACTTATCATAAAATTATTTTTGACATCAGTTATTATATCACTTTGAGATACAAGCTATATCTCAAGACTACTTATTTACTTATCTAATGTACTTATTTACTTACTTCTCCTAATCAATTAGCTATGGAAAAGTTTTCGAAAAACAAAACTCTTTTCTGATACCACCAATGATTTAAGAAAAAGAGAAGTTGACAAGAGAAATGAATACTTACTAATTAGAACCACTCTTCCAAGAAAGAAGTATTTGAAATGAAAGTGTCATATATGATAAGTGATTACTAATCAAGTATACTAATCCAAAATAGACAAGGATAAAACCATCCTCTCACATTAACAGGAGTTGCAAGTAAAACATAGCATTCTATCTCAATGAGATTCAAATTTTCATAGTGGTGTACTGAACTGTATCAGTGTCCGCGAATAGTTTTCGTTGGTATTTGGGGTCTCCTTACTTTCCACGTTTACCGCGTTGTATTCTGGTGTAATTGTTCCCTTAGGGTCACGTTTCTCACTTGATATCTAGTCATTTCACACGGAGATGACCTTTGAATTTAATTTCTTTCCGGGAAGAGATAATGTAGATGGTAATAATCTTATCTACTAAAAAATTTATGCAGATCTTTGCTTCCACAAATTGTTTATTTCAGATAAATCTATTATTAATGTTTGTCTTTCTTGATTTAATCTTGTTAATCCCTTAATGTCGTAATGATTGAAAATATTAACATGTCAAGTAATAAATCAAAATGGTGCGGTAAGTATGCATCCTATAGAGATCTATTTCTTTTTTTCCAGATCTAATTTGGCGTACTTTTGGTTCTTTTTCAAACTGTTCTTTTCCAGAAGTTTTTGTGAGTTCATGTTTGTGTTTGCTTGATATCTTTTTTAAATTATTGTTAATGTGGTAACGGTATTTTCAGGACTACTTTGAATGTATTTAGGACATTGGAAATGAAACACACTGAAGCGGAGAAGTTATTTCTCGACAAAATGGCTGTCCTTAATAAAACATTTTTATATTTCATCCAGTGTTCCCTGAAAGAAATGCCTGATGCTGATCTGGTAGTTATTTAATTTTTTTTTCTGTCTAAAAATTTGTTGTATTTTTTCCCGGAACTGCTTTTTAAATCATCCTTCGAATTAAACGAATAAGTGAGTAAGCTTCATTTTATTTTACGTCTCATACACTGCCTTGGTTTGCAGTCACCCTGCGTTCGCGATTATTTGAAACATGTCGAAGAACTAGATCGGACATATGGAAATTTCCCTGGTCAGGATGATACCAATGCATCTACTGATAATGGTAAAAAAGATGAAGCTATCAGTGACTTGCCGAAAATAAGCTTATCAGAAAAAGATGTAAGTGATGGAAGCGGAACGACGGTGAAATCCAATATGGCGCAAGAAAAACCTGCATCCAATGCAATAACTGTATTTAGTAGTACCACAAATCCAACAAATGTTTCAAAGCTTTCGTTTGATGTATCTACAACATCATCGTCTGGATCAGGTAAGAGGGTTGTTCGTATTCTTTTTTTAAATAGTTTTCGAACTTTCAGTAGTCACTTATACACGTTTTTTAGTACTTAGTAATTGCTATATTTTACTTCGAAATTCGAATACATTTATATAGCCCTATGTTTTTTTCGAATAACAAAATATTGCAGGTTCAGGTATTCGATTTTCTTCGTAACATTTGATCATTCTTGGTACTGGAATAAACCATCGGGCTTTTTAGGTGTAGCTTACTAGTTGGACCTCAGACCTCAGACCTTAAATTGTTGGACCACAGATTTCTCAGTGTGTTGGATCTCAGATTTTTCATTGTGGTTCCTGAAATGTCGCATTATAGAATATTAGCTTTTCTTCTCTCCCAGAGTTCTTCAGGGCCACATTTCACGATTTACACTAAATTTTTTCGAGTTTTAATCACTTTTATTCATACCTTTTGCTTTAGTCAGACATTTCCACATTTCATATTCATGGAATGATGGTTTTCATTTCTTATTTGCAGTCGTTCTCTAGTTGAAGATTTAATTTCAGAAAGGCGGGGAAGAAAAAGGGCAAAAAAAGGTGGTCCTGAAGGAGATGACGAAGAAGTAATTATTCCCAATCATGTGAGTCTTGTTAAATTGCTTGTAAGTACTTATAGTAATGTGTTTTGTTATTTTTATTTTTCCCACTGTTGTATGAATTGTTCCTTTATCAAGGGGTTTTAAAAAAAGGAGGAACTTTTTATTATTTCTGAGCAGAATAAGAAGTTACAGAAATTTTTTCAGTAGAAGAATGAATGCTTCTATTACTCATTAGTCCCTCTTTTGGCAAGAGAGTATGGATGATAAAAGTGGTTATAATTTGTAAGAAATATTTTCACATTTAATTGTTATTTGAAAATGTTTTAGAACACTCCAACTTCTCCGCAGTTAACAAGTTCAGAAAAATATATCAAAACAGCGCCTAATCAGATTTCACACTCGTCCACGCTGTCACCATTTTTCAATAGCTCATCGGCCGAAAATATTTCAAAAAGAGATTTTGATAGCAATAGTGATTCGAAAATAGAGACAGAAAGCGGAAGCTTCCAGGAAAAAAGCATGAACGACATTAAAGAAACAGGCACCAACAAAATCCCTTTATTTTCGTTCGGTCAAAAAGATGATTTAAAGAAAAATGAACTACTAAAGAATGCACAAAATTTTCTCTTCAAATCATCCTCAGAAAAAGAATTAGTGGAGAAACTTGATGAAAAGAAGTAAGTTGAATATCTGAATTATTATATAAACGGTTTTAGGCTTATTGTAAAATTGTTAATTGTTGTCAAGCCCAGTGTCCAAAAACTTATGTTTCAAATTATATTTTTTCCAGTTTTAACCTTAATAAAAGGTTAACTTCAAACACAATAGATCAAGTAATCAGTTGATCAGGTGATCATTTAAGCTGATCAGTTGTGTTTGAAATCAGCCCTTTTATTAAAAATATAACTGAAAAAAATATAAATTAATCAAGTTCCTAATCCAAATACTGACAACTGCCGACTTCTATGCTTTCATTCGAATATTGCAGGGAACCAAATGTAGAGTCAACATGCAAGTCTCACGTAACTCCATCATTCTCATTCTTGAAGCCAGTTTTGGATGAAGGGAATTTTGGATGCTCTGATTCTTCGAAGACTAAATTAGGTTGTCACATCACGATTTTCCAGCTATCCACAAATGTTACTATACTCGAAGTTCTTGTTGAATTTTAGACAAATTAAGATTTTTTTTCTGATTTTGTTGCCGCCGTTGAACTTGCACTAATTGGATTAATTCTTGTATTAATTCTCTCCTTTTTACTTTTCTCCATTTATACTTGTATTCCATTTATTTTCAGATTTTAAATTTGGCGCGCCACCTGCTGTTCAATCAGAACCAAATAATGAAAGTGGGTAATCAATGCTGGTTGCTGTCTTTTCTTCTGATGATTCGAAATGAAATATTCATCGGGTCAATATCTTCTAGTTTTTCTAGGTGAAGAAAGTGAATATGTTCCACCAAAACCAGAATTTGTGTTGGCGGAGGAACCGAAAGCGATATTCTCGTCCAAGTAAGTGCTGCCAAATAAGTGTAATAAACCACCTAAGGCATTCCATATGTATATGTTGTAGGTGTTCGGTATTTGTACTGAAAGGAACAGAATATGAAAAACTTGGGATTGGTCAACTTCATATTAAAACCGATGAAACTGATAGTATAAAGAAAATTCTACTCATCCGTGCTGCCACTACCACCGGTAAATCTAATATTGACTGTTAAAGATTTGAACGTTTGTAAGTCTTATATATGGGAATAGTTTTTTTTTATTCTGTGCTTCAAATGCATCCTTTGTTATTACAGAAGTGCTGAGTATCCTAATAATAACAAGGTGCAAGTGAAGGAGCCATTCATCTTACATAATTGTATGATAAATCCGATTTGGCAACAGAATCACAGTAACCTGCTTAATATCTAGATTAGATGGAATATGGGCAGTCTGATTTTGGTTCGGAGCTATGTCCGCACGTGACTACACTCTGATTATGCTGGCTCGATTTTTTTAGTGATCATGATAAAGATGTTTATGGTGAGATTAAATATTTTTGTAGGTACTGTATGGGTAAATTCATATATCGATGAATCTATGAAACATGTGGTCATTGAGGATGTCAAATTGAGGGTATGTGTCTAAGACCATGAAAGGATGACTTCACTTTTTGTTTTTCAAAAGATTTTCATTACTAAAAAATCAGGTTTGGTTTGTCAATCAAGAAAAAAAAAAGAATTTTATTCATTGCCAAAAATAAAGAATAAACTGTATTGTATCGTGAAAACTGGAGAAACTGTATTACACCGTAAAAAACGTAAACATTGTATAAACTGGAATAAATTTTTATGTACAGAGGGAAGAGTCTGGTCAGAGTCTGACTTCAGGATAGGAAAAATGAAAAATGTTATATGAATGCATGGGATTTATGCTAAAAAATATTTTTTGCTACATTCCTTATGATGTGCTGCTGGTAACGGTTAGCATTTCCATCATAAATAATGTGAGGTAATTAATTGTTCTACATCAGTACGGGGTCTTCTGCTGAGTTTCCTACTCTCATATCTCCCATTCAAGAGGTAGAATGGAATTAGTGAGTGGAAGTATCTTCGTTTTTTGAAGGATAGTAATATTTTCAGATAAGTTGTGTATCAGGTGGATCACCATCAACGTATTTGTTACGCCTACCAAAAAAAGAAAATCGTGACCAAGTAGTCGCAGAACTTCAAAGCGACAATATTTCTTCTTGAGGAATTATTTGTGACTGTTATCGTTATGCTATTGTAGTATCTTTTGTAGCGTTATTGCTACTTGACATTATTGTTTGAATACAGATCGAATAGTTTTCCAATAAATCAGTTCGTTTTGTTGTTCATACGGTTGTTGACAGGTAGTTTACTTCATATTCTGTTCTTTTATGATCCAATCCTTATCAAAAAAATGTCGGCATACGTGAGGCTGTGTGATTTGCTGAGAGGCGACATTGCACGCTACCATGCTAATGCAGTGCATTAAAATATGATACGGTCGTTTTAAGAAGTTGAAATAATTGGAAAGGAAGAGGCGAAAAAAGTAGGATTGGGGTGGATGTTTGGGCAAAAGTACCTCCGTACCTATATTAAAGTTTGGATAAGTGAAGTGACAGTAAGTGCGGTAACTCCAAATATAAATCCGACTAATGAGTTATTAATTCTTGAGTATTTTGTTCGAGATTAGATGTAGCACTAATTTTTCCCATGAATCCCCATACACGTTCAGCCCGTAACGTGACCGTATCACTGCAAATCCCGTTCACCACGCTGGTCACTGAAAAGGTGGTGCGTGAATGACGATATCTGTTAAGCTGCAGTAATTGATTATTGTCCCAGTAGGAAGTCTTTCTTGCGATATGTGCAGATGTACTTGGCAGTCTTTCATACTTTGTTGGTGGGTATATCTGTGTTTCAGGTTTGTGGCCAGTCGGTGGCATCTCCATCTGTAGGCGGGAGAAGTGGTGCATGTTTATGCGTTTTAAGTAGATAATAGCATAAATTAAGGCATTTTAGATAGGTAGAAGAAGAGAGTGGTATGTTAACACTCTAAACTTTTATTACCAAAAGGTAATAAAAGGTTCTCCCTCATATCACTTGTTCCTCAGTTGTTTTACTTGCCTGCGATAATGGTCATTAACAGTATGGATGATATTGGTGTTCGAAGATCACTGTCAACATCCCACGAAAATTTCCACTCAATTATGGTTCATTCTCTTTGCAGGAAAAAGTATTAATCCAGAAAAAAGAAAATTGTGTTGAGAAGACTTGAGGGATTTCTGCGGGATGTCCAACAAAGGTTAATCGAATTTTTGAAGTTTTGATCATTAGTTTAAGTATGATTTTGCCCTGGGCGGCTTACGATTGTAAATGTAGGCCAATACTTATTAATCCGTTTTAAATCTGAGTTAGTGTTTTTGAGAAACTGATTGACGGTAAAAGAGTTTATCGTCAAAGATCGAAGTAATCGGTAACAACTGGTATGTTCAGTCAATTGAATTGTCGTTTCACTTGCAGCATTCTTTTGAGGATGATATATCACGACGTTGTAGTGGAAAACAGTAACATTACCTTTATCACGAAATTCGTAAAACAGTAGACTTATCGGTATCGGTTGGTAGTACTAGTGCACTAACATGCTCTAGTATTTTCCCATGATGTTCTTGCAAGACTGATATTAAGAGAATGATGAGGGAAATGTTAAACTACTTATATCTGTGTACTTGCTAACTGATCGTCAAACGACAAATAGCGATGTTTAAACATTTTTGTAATGTATAAAAATGCACATTTCCACTACTAAATTAAAGTGAAGATACCATTTATTTGAATTTAACGTAATTTAAATTTGCAGGTGTCGAGACGCAAATTATAACAAGGAAAAGACACCTTGAAGATGATAATGAAAACAGTGAAAATGCTCTAGGGAATGGAAATAACTTTGATAAAATTGCATTTGGATCAGCGGGCGGTTATGATACGGCAAGTCATTCTCATGAATTCTATAATCAAAAAATATTTTAAAACAAGTAATAGTGTAAAACCTGACAGACTGTAACTGACACTACTATCGTAATCTTAATTTTTGGTGACTGAAAGCATTTTCGGTGATCAGTAAACAGTCAGGTCGTTAACACATGAAAGGGAGCAGAATGTGTAATGAATTAATACACTTTTTAGGACGTATATGGAAGTGTTCGAGGACAGCGTAAAAATGATTACTTAACATCAATAAATGCTGGCGATGAGGAGGAAGACGCGGAAGATGAATTGGTTGGTCCGATGGCTGCTGCTAAAGCAGCCTATTCTGCTCCGAAGCGCTTTGTAGAGGAAGCTGCAAGACATGGACAGGTACTAATATTTAGAATCTGCGATAAGCTTATAATTAATTGCTTTTTAATTTTTCGTTTCATATTTCTTCTGTCTTTGTTCAGGGAGATGATCCATTTGCGGAAACGAGAACAAAGACAATTGCTGAAAGGCAGAGTAATTACCAAGCGAGAGCTCGTCAACGACAAATTTCTCCTGAACGAGCAGATATGTTTGGTTGGTGATCCGTACAACCTTCTAGTTTTATCCAATAGAACCAAAGGCATTGTAAAACTCCAAAACCACCTTAAACTTGATTTCTGTGCGGTTTTCCTTGCAGGGTATTGGCTTCTTTTCCCGTAGCACATGCTATAAAACAAAAAAGTGATAAGGGCGAAGATATAACTAATCTCATCCAATTTCCTTTTTGACTTGTTTATTCCAGTCGTATTTTTTAGCTGATCAAACACCTGATGTTCGGGATCGTTCTTATGCTCAGATCATGAAGGAACAGATGTTACGTGAAGAAACGGTTTGTCATTTTACATCAAAGATAGACAAGCAAAGAAACTTTTTTTCACTCGGGAATGTATTTATCATATTTTTTTGAAAAACGCATCAAAATTTCCGTTCTGCGACTTTCCAGGATAAAGTGGAGAAAGAATTGGCTGACAAAGCAAAATCTGGTGAACTGAAAATTACAAAACCAGCTGCTCCAGCACAGAAAAGAGGACGTTGGGATGAGACACCAAAAATTGAGGCGCTTGGTGCGGGAGCCCTAACACCTCAAACACCTGGTTCCACCCAGCGAAGGCGTTTGACACTTACGTCGAATATATCTGCTGCTGCTGCAGAAGTAAGCATTAACAAATCTAAGTTTATATAGTACGTTGCGAAATATCCGCAAAGGTAATGAGCTATTTTAGGTTGCAACTCCACGTGTTGCCCGGTGGGATGAGACACCAGCTCACGCGGCAGGAGTCGATGCAACTCCTACTTCTGGAGCAAAAGCATGGGATGCGACGCCATCAACTCAGACACCTCGTCGAAATCGTTGGGACGAAACTCCACACGGTTTCTTACTCTATAGTTCTTACTTTAGCACGAACAGTTTCATTCAATTCTGTAAGAATATAGCATTTGGTTCGAAAAACGATAATAAAAATATACAATTTGCAGAATCTGTGCGTGATGGAATGACGCCATCAGCAAGGGAGGGAATGACCCCAGGTTGGGGAGCGGAAACTCCCCGAGACGCTCGTGCATTTGAAGATGTCAAGGTAACTTTTTTTATTACAGTATTAAACCACTCTTTGTTTTATGACCTTTCGAGACATACGTGAATTTATTTCGGCTTATCCGTGTACGATCAGCGTGCATTCTGTCTAATGTCGTAATGTTTGCTGTATTTGAGAATATACATATGTTATTTACAGATTGAGGAAACACCGAGTGAATCAAAACGTCGGTCGCGTTGGGACTTAACTCCATCTGCTGCCACACCGGTTGCTGCAGCTGCAACACCATCAAGTACTCATATGGCCGGTGGTGCAACACCATCAGGTTTTACACCAAGCGGAGCAGGAATGACACCATCAATGATGACACCTGGTGGAACCACACCTATTGGTACACCTGCAATGGGACTTAAAACTCCAATTATGCCAATGGTACCGATGACACCAGATCAGATGGCACTTTTCAAGTGGGAAAGAGAGATTGATGAAAGGAACAGGTAATCATTTCATATGGTATTAATTTCATTAATAAGCAACATTCATTTAAAAAAGGAATAAGTGAAATGGTTAGGTTCTCTTTAATGTTGGCTGAGACAAAGTGGACAGAACAAGGCATGCCACACTTAGGTAGTGTGAAGGTTCATCCTTTATGGCTATACAGTTTATGGGTGTAGGTGGATCTATTGCGCAGGACTGAATGTTGATTTTACTGATAGAGTAGGTAGCAACCATGGTAGCAAATATAATTTCAATCCTTAGCTTATATTATCTAGAATTTCGTCAGAATTGAAAGATCTTTGCCATTTTTTTAAATCTTTACCATTTTTTTAACTGGACGAGAAGTGATGCTTTTATCCGATGAATTATTTAAGGCCTTTGTCTGATGAAGAACTAGATGCATTGTTCCCGCCGGGATACAAGGTGTTGCCACCACCAAATGGCTACATACCACTTCGAACCCCGGGTCGTAAGCTTTTAGCAACGCCTACCCCAATGGGGGCAACAGGAACACCAATGGGATTCATCATGCAAGGAACACCAGAACGACCTGGTTTGGCCGATAAAGGTATCCTTTGCGTGTTATAACATTCTGACTTCTAGTGATTTTAACTTTCTTTTCAGTTGAACCTCCAGGCGTTCAGTTTTGCACAAATCAGTATTTTCAGTGTACTGATAGTTTTTTTGTTTCAGAAAATGATAATAGAAACTACTGGGAATGTAAGTTGAAGTGATTGCTGTTCCAGGTGTTGCTGGATTGATTGATACCCAACCAAAAAATGCAGAGTTGCCTCCACTGAAGCCGGAGGATATTCAGTATTTTGACAAGCTCTTGATGGAAGTGGACGAAAGCACACTGAGCAAGGAAGAATTGATTGAACGTGAAATTATGACTTATCTTTTAAAAATCAAAAACGGGACACCTCCGCAACGAAAATCTGGTTTGCGTAAGATCACAGAAAATGCACGACGTTTTGGAGCTGGAGCGCTTTTTAATCAAATATTACCTCTTTTGATGTCTCCTACACTAGAGGATCAGGAAAGGCATTTGATGGTGAAGGTTCGCGCGTTTGCTATTTTGTCTGATTTAATTTACAGCACTCTTTATTCTCAGTTTTCACAAATGCAACCCACATCTTTTGCGAACTTTCGCTAATGTTTTCGATAATGCTCTCATTATTATCTGGGTTATTCAAAATAACAAGTTCTGCGATCTCCTCTCGGCGATTGATAATTGCTTCTGCATATATTTTGAATGTTTTCTGATGAAGACTGCTAAATCGTAATCGTATGATGTTAAATCGTATGATTTATTATACGTGGGATTTGTCATTCATGATCTTATACGAAATTGGTTCGAAAATCTATTATATAGTGAGAATAAACTGCCATTTTACAGTTCATTTCTGAATTGCTTCAGTGATTTGTGCTATATTTGGCTTGAAATTTTTAGGTGATCGATCGTGTTTTATATAAGCTTGATGATCTCGTTCGACCATATGTCCATAAAATATTGGTCGTTATTGAACCGTTGTTGATCGACGAAGATTATTACGCACGTGTTGAAGGAAGGGAAATTATTTCAAATCTTGCAAAGGCAGCCGGTAATTCAGCATTAATTTTTATGCTACAGTTTATTCAAATGCAAACATGCAGCCAGACGAGCACATATAGGTTTCGTATTACCCAAAGTATTTAATTGATAATCTTGATTTGATCTAAAGGTCTGGCGACAATGATTTCGACGATGCGGCCAGATATTGATAATGTCGACGAATATGTACGAAATACAACAGCTCGAGCTTTTGCTGTTGTCGCTTCAGCTCTTGGCATTCCAGCTCTTCTTCCGTTTCTGAAGGCAGTTTGTAAAAGTAAAAAAAGTTGGCAAGCAAGGCACACGGGTGAGTTTCCTTTTCTTTTTATGAATTTTTCGTTTTGTTTTCTTTCCAGTGAAATATTTTGGAAATTTGGTTGATAGAATTTACAATTTTTACCAGAACGTGAAATCGTACCAACATATCAATAAACAGTGAATCACTGGTAAAAGGACCAAATCTTGAGTATTTTTCTTTTCTAGTAATTCTAATCGTGTTTTTCAGGTATTAAGATAGTGCAACAGATGGCTATACTTATGGGATGTGCAGTTTTACCACATCTCCGTTCACTTGTTGAAATTGTGGAAACAGGCCTCGTTGATGATCAGCAAAAGGTGATTTCAATTAAGCTTTTTCTTGTTAATAATAGCATGTAATCATTTATATATCTCCATGACAAGAAGTACAACTCATTTTTAAATATTACAAATTTTGTTGTTGCACAGATATCACAGTTGAACATAGCTCCTTAACTTGTATAAAGTTTTAGTTTTTCAGCGGCTTCCTTTCTAGCACTTTTAACTGGATTGTCAAGTGAACTTTTGGGGAAATAATTACTTGAAATATTTCAGGTGCGGACAATAACAGCTCTTTGTTTGGCAGCTCTTGCTGAAGCTGCAACGCCGTACGGTATCGAAGCATTTGACTCTGTTTTAAAGCCACTTTGGAAGGGTATTCGGTCACATCGGGGGAAGGTCCGTTTTTCATTGTCAATATCCAATTTTCAGTACATTATTTTTTAATTGGCGTGCTATAAGCATAATCTTCAGGGTCTTGCTGCCTTTTTAAAGGCAATCGGTTTCCTGATTCCTTTGATGGATGCTGAATATGCATCTTACTATACGCGTGAAGTAATGCTTATATTGATTCGAGAATTTGCATCTCCCGACGAAGAAATGAAGAAAATTGTGCTGAAGGTAGGTAACACACCGAATTGAATTAAGTGGTCCTGATATTGTTAATTTGTCTGAGTATGGTGGACCTTGTTGATAATATGTACCAGTAAACCGGGTGCAAATAGATTACTGAACTGATGTATTTTTTGGTCTTGACTATTTCTCATTGTATGATGTTTGCATCAGATACTGTTTTGGCGAAATTTTAGTATTCCTTCTTTTGTTCCCGGGTTATCCCATAAACACTGATTTAGTTGCTTATTAAATCAGAAAACGAGAAAGTAGCTTTTTTAACGTATAGATTTTTATTAATTGTAAACTAGCACTTGGTATTTCTGATTTCATATCATTTTTCAACCAAATTATTTTTCGCTTTGATCAGAATGAGTTTTTTAGGTAGTAAAACAGTGCTGCGCAACGGATGGTGTTGAAGCGGCTTATATCCGTGATGAAATCCTAGCACATTTCTTCAAAGCATTTTGGAACCATCGTATGGCACTTGATCGACGTAACTACCGACAGCTGGTCGATACTACTGTGGAAATGGCGCAAAAGGTTTAATTCTTTTTCAAGTTATTGATTTCAAAAGGTTTCGGGTAACTTCAAATGATTCAAGTTTGATTTTTTCTCAAGGTTGTCCTTCCATGTTGTTATTTTTATAGCACACAGTGACAACTTTTTGTACATCAGTGATATAACCGGGATTCTCTGTTCCAATTCTTAGTACCAATTATTGTTAACCATACTCGAGAGTTTTTTCCTCGAATATCGATCGACTGGATGCAGACTAGAGGAACCGATAAAGAAAAAAGTTTTGTTCAGAGAACCGAATGTGATTATTGCTACTGGAATAACATAGTATTTATTTCAAGGTGGGTTCAGCAGAAATGATTGCACGAATAGTAGATGATCTGAAAGATGAAAATGAATTGTATCGGAAGATGGTTATGGAAACAATTGAAAATATTGTCTCATTGATGGGAGCAAATGAAATCGATGCACGCTTGGAGGAACAGCTTATTGATGGTATTGTATATGCCTTCCAGGAACAAACGCAGGAAGTACGCTTTGCTCTAATATTCCCTATTTCCTACTTACATTTATGAGAACTGTTGTTACTTTATTATGTCACACGTTTTAGGATGCAGTAATGTTGGATGGATTTGGTACAGTTTGCAAGGGTTTGGGTCGGCGTACAAAACCATATCTTCCTCAGATCTGTGGTACTATACTGTGGCGTCTTAATAACAAATCTGCTAAAGTTCGACAGCAGGCTGCTGATTTGGTGTGTTCTGATCATTTTTTCTGTTGGAATAATGTGAAATTGTACTGTGCTGTGATGTTGCTCTTACTGACCCGTTTATCTAGTTCACGCGTTTACTCGATTTGAAAAGACCTTTTTATTCTCAGCTTTGGAATGAACGATAAGAAATTTTGGATCTCATATATTTTCTCTTATATATTTACAGTTTCAATGGATTTAAAATTATTAGCGATTAGTATTGCAGATAGCCAAGCTCGCTCCAGTTATGAATATTTGTCAAGAAGAAAAGCTTATGGGGCATTTGGGTGTTGTTTTGTATGAGTATCTTGGTGAAGAATACCCAGAAGTGCTGGGATCGATTTTGGGTGCTCTAAAAGCAATTGTTAACGTTATTGGTATGACAAAGATGACACCACCAATTAAAGACCTTCTGCCACGTTTGACGCCAATTTTAAAGAATCGGTACCGGTTTGATTTTTTAAAAACAGTAGATATTGATTTATATCATATGTTATTGAGATTTTTTTGTCATTTTTAGTATTCACATTTCTTCTGGTGGGATCAGTATTCGTTTAGTAAGATTTGTTAGAGCTTGCATTTTATTTTTTATCAGCATCGTTCTGTTGATTGTCTTGGGTAAGACGTTCAGCAAAAATCGACACTTAAAAAACGAGGTCAAAAATCCTTCAGACATGAAAAAGTACAAGAGAACTGTATTGATCTAGTTGGTCGCATTGCTGATCGTGGAAGTGAATTTGTATCAGCTCGGGAATGGATGCGAATATGCTTCGAATTATTGGAATTATTGAAGGCTCATAAAAAGTCGATTCGTCGCGCGGCAATTAATACGTTTGGATACATTGCAAAGGTTAAACTTGGTTTTTTTCATTATAAATATGAAAATCGATCTCAATCGCCTTTCGTCAACACGGTGCACAAAACTCGTAGAACTTATTTTGTTTTAAATCCATCCCTTAAAGGATTCCCTTCATCCCCTTGTTTATTATAAATAGTATCTTGTTGACGGACGTACGTCCTGCAAAAGGAAGTTTAGGTTTTTCGTCTCCGCTATCTTTAATTTAGGGGCCCACCACCACTGATGGAGATCGTTGGTATTGCGAGCGGCGTGCACCAAGGTAAGTAACGAGTTTGTTTGTTGCTTGATTGGGTCTTTACTTGGATAATAGAAATATGTCTCACTACTGCGAACGGTTGTTTTGATGCTATCATTTGCAAGTTTGCGGGTTTTGGAAAATATTTTCTTTTTTTTTTTGATATAATTTCTTTCCGAAGACAACAAGGTTCTACCAAAGTCTGGGGAGTATCTAAAGCAACCGTTGGTGTTTTCTCAATCTATTAGCCAATGAAAAGAGTGTGGATTGCCATTCGTGGAGGAACTGGTGGACTATGAAAGAAAAAGAAGGGCAAGGTCATGGAGAAATGAAGCTCGTCGATTTGTGATGCACAAATATGCTTTGTACACTTGCAAAAAATTTTAATCATAGTCTTTCATCGTTCAAAGTAGCATGCGTGTATTGTAAAGAGCAAAATCATAGCAATTTTAAGTTGAAATTTTAGTTAAATGTGCAAATGAGACAGTGGAAATTGAGCCGAACGTGGATGTACACTATATGTTCCGGCGACCATGTTGGGATCTGTGCGATTTTTGTAGTCTTTCAAAAATTTTTTTAAGTGGAAAATCTTATGTTATATTTAAATTGAATCCAAAATTTAGAATTTAACTTTGTTTTAACTTCCGATATATTAGGGGAATTGAAGCGTAAGTTTGCTTTTATTAAAATTTGCTGAATAGAAACATTACAGACGTTTTATTTTGTTCCGTTCCTATTAGTACAATTCATATGTTTATATGTAGTACGTTACGAGCTTTTGCTTACAACTGGAAGAAATGCATAACATTTTTCTATTTAGAGGTTAAACGGTTAATTTTCTTGTAGTTATTAGTGTGTGTGTTTGCAGGCAATTGGTCCTCATGATGTTTTGGCGACACTTCTTAACAATCTCAAGGTGCAGGAACGCCAACTTCGTGTATGCACCACAGTTGCTATTGCTATTGTGGCTGAAACATGTGCTCCTTTTACTGTGCTGCCAGCTATAATGAATGAGTACCGTGTTCCGGAGATCAACGTACAGAATGGAGTTCTTAAGGCGCTCTCCTTTATGTTTGAGGTTTTATAATTTACCGCCTTTTATTTCTGTTTTGGATTTTTCGGGTATTCATTGTTACATGTCACTTAGTGGGGACCTTAAGCTTGACAAAAGGATAGAAGAATGCATCCTGTTTAACTTACACTATCAATTCATAATAATTCCATATATTTGATTCATATGAATTAGTTAATACATCTTTATTTTGCGTTGATTTTATATTACTTATATAATTTTAATGAATATTTCTAGTACATTGGAGAAATGGCCAAAGATTATATATACGCAGTCACTCCTCTTTTAGTAGATGCTCTGATGGAGAGGTGAGTCGGATTTCTTCTATTTCTAGAATGTTGCTATTCTTTTTTTTTTTTTTTTTGTTTGCATGGAATTATCGTTTGAATTGTAAATTCTCAATTTCGTCTTAATTTGCTGGAAAGTTTATATTTCTGGCTTACATAAATGTGATTACTTGTTTTAGTACTTTGATTAGTAGTAGTTTAATATATTCATTTCATAGTGATATCAACAGTTTTAAAAACATTTCAATTCTCTGATCTGGTCCCATTCATCTTATTCTGTACAAGCTGTGGGATTGTGGGATCCTTACATCTCGATGATCTGTTATTTGGTATTTTTGATATAGCACATATATCAATTTAGTAGTTAGTTTTGGATTTATTGAGTAATATCTTACTAAAATGCACTTGGTATTTGTTGCAATTTATTTCAGAGATATTGTACACCGGCAAATAGCAATGGATGCTGTTGCGCATTTAACTTTAGGTGTTTATGGTTTTGGCTGTGAAGATGCATTAATCCACATTTTCAATTATGTATGGCCGAATATGCTTGAAAACTCACCACATGTAATACAACGGTAGGTTTTTTCTGGATTGCCAGAAAAAAGTAACTTCACTTCTCTTTGCACATTGAAATTTAATGCATGAAATATTCCAGGTTTGTTTTTGCCTGTGATGCCATGCGTGTATCGCTTGGCCCAATCAAAGTACTTCAGTACTGTCTTCAAGCTCTATGGCATCCAGCAAGAAAAGTTCGCGAGCCAATTTGGAAGGTAGTCTTTTTTCCTTTTATTAAAAAATATCTGCTGCTTTCGATAATTGAATTTTTGCTTGCATTCTTTTAAACAAATATAATTTGTCATGCATAAACCACATAATTAACAGTCAGGTATTCTCGTCTTTCAAGCAAAAATTTTATTTTTGATAAATGACAGTAACGTGTTTCCATTTTTTCCAGGTCTTCAACAATTTGATTTTGGGTTCTCAAGATGCTTTGGTTTCTGGATACCCGCGAGTACCTAATACTGAAAGGAATAATTTTGTGAGATATGAGCTTGATTATGTACTTTAGTCTGTGGGGTGGTTGTAACACTCTTATTGATTTCCAAAATGGTTTATGTACTGTTCATTTTTTTTAACGAACAAATCTGTATAATGAATATTTCTTTCGGACAATGCCGTAAAGCCAATATTGTTTGATGTAAGTTGAGAGGAATTCAAGTTTTCTTTGTTTGATGTAAGTTGAGAGGAATTCAAGACTTGGGTGTAAGCGGGATCTTCAAGTATATATTTCGATTTGAGAAATATAGCAGTGTATTGTATTATCTGAAACTTCGTTGAGGGGAGAACAACTTAATGGATGGAAATTATAGTAGCAGCTATGATTTTTTGAAATAATGAATTTTAATGTATGGTAACCAGCTCAACGGCTGTGTGGTTTTGTTTTTCCAAAATGGGAATCAAGTACAAAAAATGAGTTAAAACATGCATTCATTTCGTTCAGAAATTTATTGTAAGTTAATTTAAATATGATTTCAAATAGCAATGGCTATTTGTGATTCTGTTTTTCATACTTTTTTTCTTTTTACTTTTTGCCAACAATCGTTCTTATAGTTGAGATTGTTTTGTTCAAATAAACGTTGTGGAACTTTGCTTTGGTTCATTCATTTATAAAAAGACACTGTAAAAATGGCTGGCGGATTTGTTTTCTGATGGTATATGAGATGGATGATGGATGAATTTAGATCTTTTCATAAGTTGAGTTTAGTAGTGTTATTATTAAATATTCTTTTATTTCGAATACTCTAGAGCGTGCTTTTTGCTTAAATACATGCTGTAACTGAAATCGGGAGAGCTTCTGGAACACTGGAATACTACTGACATTAAACGAAGAAGCGAAGTTTTGCTAGCTTTGGCTAAGAGGGTAATATCGTACTGAAGTAGGACGAAGATGAAGAAGCAAAGGGAGTCTGGATGGGTTTACAATTGAATGTGGGACTTTCGGTGCACAGTCCAATGTTTTTAGGAAGCTTAGAAGATATTTTCGGTAGTTGTGTACAGTATTTCCTGTGATTTTCAGGATTATTGAATGAATTATATTTACTTAAATGGCTATAAATGAAACCGAAACAGGACAACGTGTTTCGTGTTTATCTGTGCAAGAAAGGTGACAAAAAATGTAAAGGAAGGAGATGTGACGTCATACTGGTAATTTGATATTCTATGTGCTTGTACATTTCACATGGTTAACGAATCTCAGTTCGTGTAGCCATGAACAGAAAGGAATATGGATTACCCAAACTTGAATGTTACATTGTTCAGTGGTGTTTTTTCTGAGATTTCATCATTCCGCATGAACTGGGAACTCTTTGTAATTTTGTTTTGATCAATTGCAAAGCCAGGTGTATCAACCAGAACGGAGTATGCTTATTCATCCTATATCTTTTTTATGATCAGGAAATTGTTGCTGTTTTTAGAGCAGTAAGGATCTTCCCGGATTGTGTTTGGGTAATATATTGGAGATCTCATCATCGTTGGATCAACGGTTTTATGTACAGCATTTACATGAAGATGATGAAAGTGGGACATACAGAGAAAGACGCATTTATATTGAGAAAGCTATCGCTGATATGTTTTTACTTTCTCAAAATCAGTATGTTACGGTCAAAGTTGTCGAAAAAAAGCAGGTGAACTAAAAAAGTTTTGGACTACAATGAATATGACTTAAACTTCGTATCAAACTACTTGTTTCTTATGCTCTATTAATGAGAATACTGCAATGTTTTGATAGGTTTCTTCACTTGTCCATGACGTTCATTATTAGATTAACCTAGCGTAAACAAATCTATTAAAAATGACCTTCCTTTCACTTCAAGATTATTGAATTTCTATCAAAAATGGTTTGAAATAAAAGCAGGATGGAATTCATACAGGTAGTATTAGACAACATCGAAATCACAATCAAAGAACGCTATGTTAGTCGATCCGATATGTGGCGTTTTCGGAATTGCCTTATTGATACATGTGCATATATTGGAAAGAAAGTGGAATGGTTGCTCATTCCAACCACTGTTGTAAGCCTTTGGGCAAAGGGTGAAATTGTAAGTATTCTGTTATTATGGATGCTTTACTAACTGTATATACACATCCCACTGCTGATAAGATTTGTTTTGTCTGCAAGTTATATTTCCAAAATCGGTCAAATCCAGTACTGGTTTCCTTATAGTTTTTTTCCTTATAATTTAGTTTTATAGACCAACATTTTGTTATTGTTTGTTGTAAAGTTTGGCAACGAAGTCCATAACTGCTTAATATAAGGATGCTAGGTTTCAAACATAGTGATATACAAGCAATGAAAAATCACCACTATGTATAGTAATTGTCTTTGAGGAAGATGCTAAAACAATTACAATTTAATAATGCAAATAATATTTTGTACACTTCAGAAGTATACTCAGTTTATAATATTTTTAGGTTAGAAGTGGTTATGTCTCAGAGGATACACGTATAGTGTTTCGTTCAGCAAGCGCTATGGTGCGTTGTTGAGTAATGTACTCATTTTTGCATTTTTTTTAAAGTTTATTTTAGTTTGATTATTAAATATAGTAATTTCCATATTGCCGCAATACGAAATCATCCAGATGCTGGTATATGTTCAAATGAGTTCGGAAATGTGGGATTTTGATCCATACGGTGATCTTTACTTTGAAAAATGCGTTAATGGTTTTTTTCCACAACTGTTTGAACAATGGAATAAGCATCATTGCGCTCATTCGATAACATTTATTGTCACTTCAAGGTTACTTTTACCTCCAGAGCATCTCAGTGAAAGCCGTATTGCTAATTATCGTGCAGTACTACAATGTTGGCTTCAAGAGTCTGATCGAGAATTAAATTTAAACCAACTTGTTCAGGTTTCCACTGGGATACTGATTTCTGTTTTACATTTCAGTCCACCTTGAGTTCCAGTATCTCGGAGTTTTTCATCCAAAGTTCGGTCCAGAAGATTGAATGAAACAATGAACAGAAGTCGTTATCAAAATAGGGGGGACAGTATGAAGCTAAAATATGTGATATTATAGCATTGGTTTTTTTTCAGATGGTACTTTGAAGAAGAAGTTTTGAAGGAGGAAATGAAAGAGAAACTGTGTATAGATTACAGAGGAAAATACTATGAGGTTTGATTGCTAGTTCAATTCGTCATCTTTTTAATCAATCTGTTGCATTTCAACTCGTAGTTGAGTGTAAGAAATTGTTTCTGTATGCAGGATTTTTATCGAATTATCGTACAAAATGAACATTACGATGATTGGAGGAATGCTGTTTTATCAAAGGTTTGCAATTCATTTTATTTCACATTTCATCACAAATGCTGAAATGTTTCACTTTGTCTTGCAGTTGCGATTGGTCTTCAGCACGTACAAAAATACCGTGAAAGAGTTCATCTGCAAGCAATTAAATGTTTGTTTTGGATTTTCTTTATAAGCCCGTCATAACTTTACCAAATATAATCTACCGTCTCTAATAATTGCATAAGTCTTCAGTCATTTTGTCATATTAAATTGAATTATTTGTCAGATGGATGCAAAGGAAAATGACCTTGCTGTGCTTTCGACAGCTGCTGATGGTAATTTTTTGCAAGTCCTCAATTTATCCATGAATGAATTTAGTGTTTATTTTACCAATCGTCGTTTCGAAACTGTTGGCCAGCAGGTTTGAATGCTTTTAATGTTTTTTTCATTTATATATATATATATATATATATATATATATATATATATATATT